GATCAAAACCATGGCCCGTAGCAATAAATTGACTTATATATAACGGATAACGTTTTTACAAAGATAATGTGATATTACTTTTATTATGAAAATATATATTAAAAGATGAAGTATTTTAGAAAATATAGCAAGATTCATTGACAAACACATTGCAAAATACACTTCAATTTTATCACCTACTTATTCAACGTCTTTCTATGTTATTGCACTCATGCATATCTATTTTAAAATTCAAGAGCTGAAATACGCTATGCGACAGCTCATCAAAAGCTCTTATTGATGTCCACTAAATCACCATCTAAAAATTAACAATGCTTTATTATAGCATAATATGGACCACTTAATATTCATTTTTATAACATAGAACGTTCGCTGGTTATCAAGTTTGCATATCTTTAATGGGGAAGAAAAACTGGGTTGGTGCTCCGATCCAACATCGAGAATATTCTGTTCAGCCATTGAAGTTATCGTACGCATTGAATGAGTCCAGGTATTTCTGAATGATCTGGTAGCAGAAGACATACTGGATCTGAAAAATAGGGACAAGTTTGATATCTAATTTTTAGGCACGGCAAGTCTCCCTCCTTCTTTATACGTACCAATGTTTCTACGGCTCCTGGTCTGTTGACACGAATACTCTTAACGGTTTGAAAGACGTCCAATACTTGTTCTTGTTTGACTCGTTCAAGACATGAAGCAATAGCACMGAATGTACCGCTACGASCAACACCGTTACTATTTCAAGGAAAAAATATACGAATTAGCAAARCGACAAACCTGTTCAGCAAGATTTATGAAGTGGGAATTATTTACCTGCATTGAACCAGGACTGGTGCGTTGGCACACTTTTGCTGAGATCTCTGAACCTCTTCCAACAACTGTAAAATACTTTGTGGATTGGCAGGAACACACTTGTCTACCCACGTGACATGCTGGAAGTGCTTGATAGTTCTGCTTGTCTAGAAAATAACAGTTTTATTATGTAGGATACTTCAGAAAGTTTAGATGATACTAAATTAATTGGTTTATGATTTTTGATTTCCATAACATTTCGAGACGGATTGCATTGGATGAGGTTACACCGCTTTTTGCTTTCAATCATATAGATATATATTGACGCAACAGAGAGAGAGAGAGAGAGAAGCAAAGCGATTGATAGAGAAATCCTGTTACATTGACGAAAATTTGTAATCAATCCTGGTTAGGTTTTTGCCATGTCTAGTACGTTTCTACGCTTTGACATACCATTTTTGTTGAGACTTGAAGTTCCCGCATCAAAAACCCYACCATCTTACAAGAACTTAGATACTGCACTCGTACTTCGCCATACGTGTTACTTCCTTCTTCTGGCCAGTATTGAGGGAAGGTCTACATGAATTAGAATAGTACAACTATAAATAGTACGAATTGAAATATGGCGACCATTTTCAGAAGACTATTGTCCTACACTGACTAGCGACTGGCTAGCCACGTGGAAACTTAAAAGCGTTTTCACATGTATGAGAGGCTAGTCAATCCGCTAGGCAGTGCGGAAAGATGGTCGAGCTGTACGATATATATTACCAATATGCATAATTTGTAATATATAAATTGTGAATATATTGCATATGTATTGTGGTATTACCTCATCTCCTTCCTGCAAATTGTTCAGCATGACGATGGTTCCTATCTCGTAGTCCATAACCATTCTCCAGAAATCTGCTATCGTGTTTTCCATGGGAGCTTGTGTCATTATGAATGCATTACGTTCCCTGTAAGCCTATTAAAACATCATCTAATATAAGTAATTGTATGAAATTGATATAATTGTTTCATCATAGCAAACTAGTGCTGCGCATCTCCCCCTCCCTCCCCCCTAGTTATAAGATTTGTCAAGTTTTTTTCACTAAGAAATCCAAATAAATTTAAACGGAACGCAATAATAGTAGCAAAGCTCTGTATAGTTAACTTACGTCAATAAAGACAGCATTAATGTAGTCCTTTTGGCTGTCATCCTTTGTACTGAGCATAACACGACATCTATTTGCTGTCATCGATCAAAATGAAAGGTTAATGGATTTCATCGATAGACAAAAGCTGTTATAATAATGAACGAAAAGTGTATTAAAATCTTACCAGGAACGATGTCTGTATGTCTGTTTTTCTTGGCATTTTCAGGTGCATTACCGGCATCACAATCGTCTTCTGGTTCTTGGGAAGTTACKACACCAAGTTTCTAAAGAAACAGGYACAAACGATGAAATTATGRAGATGCACAGCGCYACAATAAATGCACAACATGGATTTTGTTACRGTTAGCTTTRCAGCAYCAGTTTCTCATGCAGTATAAAGTTYCCTTAAAGRATGGAAAGATTAATCGTARGGCACTGAAACAAATACAAGSMCRACCCAGTCGTCMTAAATASTTGTATATTAATGAACATATATTATAAAGGTTAGGTTAAACATAATATAATTTGTCAAGTCAAAGTCACWGTCAATAAAATATTGGAAGTAAAAATCTTTAAAACTTTTAACTGAGACACCACATCCAAATGAAGAAATATTTCACTATTAAACTATTTACTTTACAATGAATAGCTACTAAAAGCATTGTATCAGGAGCTAGATGCACTTTATTAACCTTGAACTCGAGGGCGTATCCCGTCGCATTTTGTTGTTGGTCGATATTGGACAGTTTTTGTGTAGCAATAAGAAGGTTGTGGACTTGTATTTCTGTGTTGCCACAGGAGATTGCCTCGTTTAATGCCAGGTGAACAAACACGTACTGTTCCTATAAGAAATGTGGAAAAGAAACTTGTTATAAACTGCATTGATCAACAGGGTAAAAAAAGACAATAAGGTTCAATTCAATGTCACCTAGACATGGCAAAGTAACAAAAAAATGAACACTGGCACGAGCACGCGCTTTCTTAAAATTTTTGTGGAATGTATCAACGCGCATAGTTTCTTAATGTCCTGACTGTTGGAGCTGTTGATTTGCTATCGAAACATCTGAATAAAAAACCAGTGAGAGACAAAGTGTACTTCCAATGAAATTTGTTTTTTTGAAGAATTTTACGTGGACGACAAAAAGCGTCTTTAATAAATTGCATCTTTACCTACAAAGTGTTTGTTCTGTAAACGTCTATACATTTACAAAAAATATACAGCTATTTCATAAAAGATTGAAAGGGCGAATAGCAATAGGCAATAAGTGATTGCCGCTAAGTAACAGGAGAGAGGTCATTCCAAGATGTAAGTAAAATAGCTGGAATGGAAATTTTGTTGTCGTTGAGGTTGTTGTTTGTAGTCGAAGTAATCATTTAAAGCACCTCGATCATTTTTGTTTAGATGTATGCCAGTAGTTACGCTTTACATGTATCGGAACCAGCTCGGAAAAACTTACTTCAGTTTGCACCATGTTTGGCCTGTCTTGCCTGATTGACTTGAGGTATCCGAACACGTTAACACACTCCTCCTCCTTTGCTTGTTCGAGCAATGCGTCAATCATTATGAATGCTCCAGTTCTTCCAACACCAGCACTAAAACAAGTGGAAAGCATGTATTTTAAAAATCAACAAACGAAGGAGAAGGATACAGACCAATAATCACTGAGAAGTTGAAACAAAGTGTCAGTTAATACCTGCAGTGGACGACAAGAGGGCCAGTGTCCTCGGGAGTCAACGCGCGTACCTTTCGTCTAAACGCAAGAACAGCAGTTGCATGTTGAGGGACACCCTTGTCTGGCCACGCRATAAAGTGGAACTGCAGAACCCGTCGAGTCGTTGATTGATTTTCCTGTTGAAGTGATATTGAAATTCGAAAGAATAAATTTGAAAAAAAATCAAGTAATTTAGGAATAGGGAAGACGGTTACCGTTACACATGTCATGAAGGAGGGAAGATAGCCAGGTGAAACAGATGAATTGATCATGATACAAAATAGAAAGCACGGACTGAGTTGGTGTTGTTGGTGGATATATCTTCAACTACTGGCAATATATGTACTTACTTTTGACAAGATGAAGGTACGCAGCACATAATCCGCGAACACTTCGGTCTTATGATTGGTTACGGTTATGTCAACATACTGCGCAGACTCATCAGGCCAATACTGGTGACATTTTCGCTGTATAAGAAAATCATTATTTTTTAGAAATTTTTAAACAAATTCGCGCATGCCAATGCAGAACTAAGATATACGAGAAATCAAGGCACACTTAATAATTGTAATGCCAAAAATGTTTCCCTATCAGTTTTTCTCGAAGCAAAACCGTATTGGATTCAAAGCGCAAACCGACTGAAATAATTGATGCTTACCTTTCCAAGTTCAAGAAGGTTTGTAAGCATGACAATGGAAGAAGCTTTCTGTTCCCAAATCATCTTCCAAAAGTCGTTGAACGTTTGAGTCAAAGGGCCTGTACAAAAAGAATGGTAGAAAGATACGGGCATCTATTTGCTCTTTTAACACGTCACCCGCAGGGTAAGGGGAACTATAAGCAGAAGAAAAGGGATCGTTAATGGTAATGTGGATGTTCGTTTCGAGACATCAAAACAAAAAGAGGCAAGTAGGACCATGAGTAAAGAACTTATCTAAACGAGACCATGTTTTCCCATTTAGAACTTATGTCATTCTCCTGAAAATATAATTATTTGATTGAGATACATATTCATGCATGTATCTTGYCATCCACAACCGTCAAACAAAGAAATGATAATTTTTGAAATGACACGTGGTATGAAATGAGAAGACACGCGCAAACCGAAAAGGTCTATTCCAGACTTTCAAAATCAGGTTGTTGACAAGGTCATTAATAGCTGATAATATTTGTAAAGTACTATACCTTGAGTTGCGATGTAAGCTTTCGGTTTCTTTGCGTATCCCTGTATACATAAATAGTGATTATTACTAAGGATAAATGAAATATATGGTTCTTATGTTAGGTCATACTGTATCCGCTGCTGTTTTTTTGGTCCTTTACAAAAGGCTCGTCCAATTTTGAAAATCAAAAAAATCAAAACATCACTACAACAAAATAGCATGTGCGCTTGGCTTGGCTTGYCCACATTTCAATTACATGATGCACACTTGTGACGTGGTCTGTGGAAAACGCTATATTCMTGTTGGATTACGGATAACAAGAAAATCTGGMTAGCGAGGCACAAAAGTACAAAGCATTGTYCTCACAAAACAAGAGCTTAATTCCAATGCCTTTGCTAGAAGTTGGAAGTTATCTTAATTATACGTATAAGTCTATGATAACATTGCACGCTTGCTTTAATGTGTTGTTAGACTCATCTATTAATGCCCT